TGCTCAAGAGCACACATGCTGGTGTTTTATAATGCTTTAATCTTATCTAATACGTTTACAAAAATATAAAAATTTAAATAAAAATATGTTTTTTAGAACACTGTGCTTCAAGAACTAAAGGCGTAGGAATTATCTCTTAAGCTGCCGGTCACGGACTGAGTCGAAAGTTACACAATTGTTTCTACAGTGAGCAGTAACAAAGTGACCAAAGCTCGTATGGCTGCAGCGGGAGTGTGAGCAGTAGGCGAAAAACTAAGGCCCTTAAATGCCCTTAGTCAAATATATGTATGTATACTATGTACACATATATTATATACTTGATTTTAAATATTTGTTTGTATTATTTTCTATATATCGTACATTGTATGTTTGTTGAGAGTTTGACTGAAAGTGATTTAATTTTAGTCACTGCCCAGCGCAATTTTACGCCTCAGGGCACTCGTCATTAGCGCAGCAGCAAAAATATACCAATAATTTGTTAATACGTAAGAATTGTACGTGGGGCTTAACAAAAGTTCGCTCAAAGAAAAATATATTCTTTGAAATCGCTGAGGAGTTATCGGTGTGCTCAATAAAAKACTAGTTATTTTATAAATAGTGTTTGAGGTTTTCACAAATAAATAAAACAGAATATGTAATGTTATAGTCAAAAATATAGTGACTGATGCCCATAGATTACTGAAATTATGGAGAGAACACTTCTCCAATCTGTTGARTGACAGAGAAAGCTCAACATCAAGAGATGGTATACACGATTATCCAATCGATGACTATGGAACGGACCGTCCATTGCCCGACCATAAAGAACTTCGAATAGCAATTATCCATCTGAAGAACCACAAAGCGCCGGAGGCCGACGCAATGCCGACCGGGCTATTCAAATGATAAGAAGCATRCATCAGCTTCWTTGTAGAATATCGTCGGACGAAAGCATGCCCGACAATTGGAATTTAAGTGTGCTCTGCCCAATCCACAAAAAGGGAGACCCCACAATCAGCGCCAACTTCTGTGGGATAAGCCTCCACAACATCGCGTATAAGGTTCTATCGAGCGTATTGTGTGAAAGGTTAAAGCCCAGCGTCAACGAACTGATTGAACCTTATCAGTGTGGCTTTAGACCTGGAAAATCAACAACGGACCAGACGTTAACCATGCCTCAAACCTTAAAAAAGACCTGTGAAATAAGGATCGACACACATCACCTCTTTGTCGATTTCAAAACTGCTTTTGACAGCATGAAAAGGAGCAATCTTGTGTAAAKTGACGTTGAGCAATAYCAAAAGCTCCGTCAGGATTGGGAAGGACCTCTCCGAGCCGTTCGATACCAAACGAGGTTTCAGACAATGTGACTCCCTATCRTGCGACTTCTTCAATCCACTGCTGGGAAAAGTAATTCGAGCTGCAAAACTTAATCGAGTAGGTACAATATTCTATAAGAGTGTACTGCTGCTGGCGTAGACCGATGATATTGATACCATTGGCCTCGACTTCCGCGTCGTTAGTTCTGCTTTCTTCAGACTGGATAAGGAAGCGAAGCAAACGGGTCTGGTAGTGAACGAGAGCAAGACGAAATATCTCCTGTCATCAAACAAACAATCGTCGCACTCCCGACTYGGCTCCCAGAACACTGTTGACAATCATAACACCAACAACAATGTCAAAACTAAAACGCGAGGTAGAATAACTCTAGCCAACAGGTGCTAGTTTGGTCTGAGTAGGCAATTGAGAAGTTAASTCCTCTCTTGACGAACCAAAACAAAACTCTAAAAGTTGCTCATCATCTTCGTCCTGCTATATGGTGCAGATGCATGGACGATGACAACATCTGATAACTCGGTGTAACAAGTTTTCGAGAGAAATATTCTGCTGTAGATTTATGGTCCTTTRCGCATTGTTAATGGTGAAACCGTTAGAGAARACCTCCATTCCTTYGRAGAGATACAAAATTTCAYCACTTGTATCTATCCCTTGCTAAGTTAATMCAGTTTTACAATCCAACTGACAGGTCACTATGCAAATGCTTCTTCTATTGTTTCGTGGTTCTATATGCTTTTTGGTTTCATCTTCTTTGATATTCATCATTCTAGTGTTCGAAAGATCTTGCGAGGAACGGTTTTCTCGAATATTCTAAAAGCTTTCTCATAACGGTTCATCATCGCCCATGTTTCACCACAGTATAACAAATTTGGAATAATGAAAGATTTATAAAACGTAACGTATAACGCTCTGTTTGTCGAGTGCGGAGTCTATTTCTCAATTGCTTACTGATCCTAAAGTAGCACTTATTGCCAAGAGTTATTTTGCGCTTGATCTTCAGGCGTAGACTTATTGGCCACTGCGGTTCAGATTAGCGGCACGTTTCCAGCATTATATTGAAGAAGACGTATGTCTAACAGTCTGGTATCGAACGGCTCCGTGAGGTCTTTCCCGATTGTGACGGCTTTGAAATCAACAAAAAATAGCCCAGCGGTATTAAATCACATTATTCGCTCTGTACAGCGTCTCTGAGGCTGTGTATTATCCAGTAAATTAAACGTGGTATGAAACCGATCTACGATTGCTTGAATTACCGCCTCTGCCTCTGGACTTAGCGTGCAATACGTTTCGCGAACCAAACCATTACTTTTGATAAATTGGCACGATTTCTAAATGTTATTCCGGAAAAAATCATTCATTATAAAATGGCAACTAAACTGAGCACAAATCAAGTAAAAAAGGCAAGCTTAAAAAAAAAACACCTGTTATTTCATTCAATCTATATTTCATCAATATATGTATATATAGTGGAGTGATTTATGGCTAATTTTTAATTACATCCAAATGTAGGCAACGTTTAAAATTAATGTTTTGCTTAAGTTAAAATATGTCTGAAAAAGAAAAATATATCAAGTTCTACTCGCCTATGGCTTACGCTAGTCTGAGGTTGAAACAACTAGGCACTCATACCAACGATCAAGCGGGCGGATATTGATGGAGTAAAAATTAGAAGGGCTTTGATTTTACTAGCTTTCCTTGAGAAGCGCAAAATCATTCGCCGTAGTCAGGACAATTAATAATAACTTAATGACAGGTTCGAACTACAAGTCGGAAGGTGGTGAACTTTCCACCCAAGCTCTCGGAGTTTTTGGTGAGGCACTTTAACTGTGTGTGGCCTAAAGTTGTTCTGATGGAATACAATTCTACTCCTATTGGCCAAACTTGGCAGCTTTTAGGTGAATATTTCCTCCACAGGGGTCCAATTGTTAAYAGTACATAACCGAATTACTTATGAAAAATAGTATTTTATAGTATACTAGCTGACCCCGCAGCCGTTGTCCTGCGTGAAATTATGTGTTTTAAAATGAAAAGAAAGTTGAATTTATCAATTAATTGTTTTCAATGTAACGTTGCTTGATAAACCACATTTTTTGGTTTCTGTTTCGGTGTACAGAAAAKATGGGTTTCAAACTCGTGAGCACGCCACTTGTGAAAAACAAAGCACTTCCAAACTTGGCAAACCAAGTTGTGCGCTGTTGATCGTCACCTCAAATGCAATTTTCACTGGAAGCGGAATACGTTTGAACTGAAATGGCAAATCATTGGAAYTCAAAGGAATTCGCAGCATCAAGCATTCTGTCCACTTGTATTCGATAGGTGCCTCAAAAATCAGTCGGATTCCATTAYAYAGTTTCGGTGCATGAAGATTGCGAAACATAATAATTACAGAACCAACTTTKAAACGCAAATGATGCGGTGGCATACCAAGCCTCTACAAATAATTTCGAAATTCCACTGGATAATACAGGGCGTCGTCTTTATTGTCAAGATCGATTTGTATGAGCGCAAGTCTCCYGGAATTTGACTYTGAATCTTCCAGTTTAAATCAACAACATYGGTAGYTACGATAATTTGGCCAATGTGCGGATAAACAGTCGTGATGAGTTCAACTTTCGTGAATTGATAAGCGGTGAATGGAATTGATATAAAACCACCGGAAGGGTATCACGGATAATATCAAYCGGAATTCACCCATTTCCAATTTTTAGCGAGACGATGTAAAATGTTTTTGGCAATATTATTTTTATTCGCTGGCTTACTTCTCCAAAACTTGCACACACCGTCCCATTCACAGTTCGCAATGACTGTGAACGAAGTTGAACCGCGAACATTGATCGAAGGTAGAAACCATTGTCATTTTACGTGTGGATTGTATAAATTCGTCTTAAGGAATTAGTTGAGAACACACCTGTATGTCAATCTACTGGTTTGCCTTCCTTTCTGCGATGCACTCCCATGTCAAGATTTTTACGAATAGAGCAATGTTCTCGCAAATAGGTCACTGGCGAAAGTTAAGAAAAAACTCGTTAATGTTAATTTTGTTGCTGGCGGTGTTTTTATTGGCTGTACTGTATGCTCTGAGTTGAAATATACGCTTTGGCCATTCTCCAAATTAACTGCGAGACACACAACGGTCGGAGAACGTTCATGAATTGCAAAGGATTCCATCATTTCTAGTTTGTGTTTCCGAAAGAAAAGCACGTGGATAGTGTTTCGTGCATTTGTTGTCAGCCATACAAACCGAAAAGGGATTGTAATGTTCGAAAGGTCCATGAATCATACTGGTTTTCACCACTTTGAATAATACTGGATCTTTCTCTGCATCARGAATTTACGCAGAAATTATTTCATCAATTTGATCTGGTGTAACCACCATCCAAAGAAGAATGTGTACGTGCGGCAAAGCTCTCTTTTGTCACTCAACAGAGTACATCTAGCATCCAACAGCACCTTCAAGCATCGTAACTGTTGTTTGAAAAGTTGTGCTATGACATCGCGACGATCGATTGTTGATTGACCGCCATCCATAATTCCGCACGTTAAGGAAACCTCTTCGTAACAAATTTCAATCTGCAATTGATCACTTTGCGTGAAACTTTGGTTCAGTTGTATGAAAGTTATGAGCGTACATACATATCGGCGAYTAATTTTTATTTATATAGATTGGMTCGATAAGAAAATACTTAAGACAACTTCTTCTTATGTTCGACTTTATTTTAWATATTTTTTGTTTTAAATTGTTAACCAGTWAAGGACTGTACGAAGTATCATACTAAGCTATCAAGTCTCTGAATTGGCCATATTTATGATAATTACTTTACCTCAACTTTACCTTACTTCCACTTTATTAAGGACCTGTAGGGTAGTATATMCTAAGTTATCCAAAGCTTTAAAAATAGACTTTAAAATAGCCAACTTTCATAGCTGGAAATCCAGCTGACGCTTGCTACATAATCCGGAAAACTTTTTAAGAATTYTTCATAAATTTGAGCGCGTTGAAATTTTTGGTTTATCCAGTTACCAGCAATACCAATTTCTAAATTACCCAAGGTTCCATTATTGGTGGTGTGCTAAAAKTAGAAGCGGATAAAATTAGCACGCATGATGACTGTATCAAATAACAAACCTCTAAATCTATAAAGAATTCGAACGCCTTGTTATCTACGCCATATGWAAATGTGATAGCAAAATTCTTTCTTCCTGTGGTCAGCATTGCTTCATCAAAGGACCAATTTACGATTTTGGCCGGAGTTTTCGGTTCAATAAAAATCGCCATGTGGTCTGGACCGGTTAAAGTATAATTGTAACGTCGCGTATTGGTTGAATTCAAGACAGTTGTGGAARTAAGCTTTAGTACGGGTTTTTTGCTTGGTATAATCGGCGACTCTTTGACGGGTAGCCACAAACTGTTCGGCGAATAGAAAACGCTAAATAACAAAATWATTTCGATTAAAATTCATATTAATTAATTTTGCAAAGTATTTTTAGCTAACCTGGGCCTGTTTTGTAGACAAGTCGATGGATCGTTGCACACAATGCTGGCTTCATATATTGCACCAAAGCGATTTATCACATCTGAAATTGTAGTTKAAATGTCTAAATATATGTTGTCCCTATAAAAAAATAGTTGCTTTTAAGAACTTTGCGTCCAGTAATAACTGCTAAAGTTGTCTAGAAATCATTACATATTGTCAGTAGTGCACTGCGATTTTTACAATGGATAAAAATATCGAACAAAGAATTTGTCTCAAATTTTGTATTCCTGACCAAATTTCGTGTGCGGAATCGTTACGAATGTTGGAAAAGGCTTACGGTAATTCAGTTTTATCAAAAACACAAGCCTACGAGTAGTACAAAGGCTTGAAAGAGGGTCAAGAGATCGTTGAATCGACCTCTTCCAATGATAAAAACTTAAAAAAGTGAATGATGTGGTGCTCATCAGGCAAGAYGTTAGAGAGATGGTATTTCTCCCGAGTCCGTTCGAATGATTTTGATGCATATTTTGAGCATGAAACGCGTTCTTGCTCGACTCGTCCCTATAAATATATTTCGAATGATAAGTTCAGAGAAGACGGAACCTTTCGACCTTGTACGTATTTTATTCTAAGTTTAATATAAAGTGCGATCTCAATAAGAGCCAAATTTTCAGTTGTTCTTTCGAACGAAGTGGCGCCTAATTTTCCTCCACTTATGAGCTTATGGTTCCATTCGGTCTAGGTCAGACGCTATGTTTTTATGATCACAGGGAAATTCTCGTCTCGCTCTCATTCACCAGTTGATCCATCCGCTTTGCCCTTAAACAATTTAGATATTTGGTTGCAGTGTCAAAATATTTCTTCTGAAATACATTATTAAGCGGCTCGAAAATGCTCTGTCAAATTATAACAGCTATTTAGGATTGTTCAAGGTCATTTTATGTAGTCACAATGTCTTTGGGATATTCGACAAAGTTAATTGTTGTCTAAAGCCGCAATATTATTTTCCTATCAGTTAGGTTATTGAGCAGTTCAGTCAATGCGCTCGAAACCTTACAGGTACACTTGGTATGTTTATTTAGAAAACTTAAAAATTTTATCTACGCAACTCGGACTGACGTATGGAACGACTTGGCACATTTTACGTCGAGATYTTAAATTAAAAGCGTACAAGAAGCGTGTGCAAGAACCGAAACCGCTCAATCTTCCCAAGCGACTTCGTTTTGTTTAATGGGCTCTTGAAAAGTTTAAAGAAAATCCGACGTATTTGAGAAAAATTTTGTTCAACGATAAGGTTCATTTTTGGCTCAATGGGAAAGTAAATAAACAATATTACCACATTTGATGCGAAGAGCAATCTAAAGAGATCCAAAAACTGAATTTTGCATCCAGAAAAAACAACGGTTTGGTGTGGGTTTTGGGTGCTGTGGAATTATCAGTTCAAATTACTTCAAAAATGATGCCGGTAAGAAAGTAACCATCAGTGGCGACCATTATCGCATCAAGATAACCAATTTTGACTGAAATTGAAGCTTGTGGTCTCTGCGACATTTGCTTTAAACAAGACGTAGCCACTTCCCACACATCGTATMAGTTAATGGACTTAATGAGAGACGACTTCGGTGACCAGATTATTTTACATTTTGGGCCGTTCGATTGGCGACCATGATTCTGTGAAATCACTCTGTTATACTTCTTCCTGTGGGGATATGTAAAGTCTAAAGTCTATGCAGATGCTTCGATTTAGACCTTGGAGGAGAACATCACGCCTGCCATTCGCCAGTTAACAATCGAAATGTTTGAACGAGACATTGGACTCAACGGATGGACCAACTGGGACGCAGGCGAGGCCAACATTTAAAGGAGATAATCTTTAGAATATAAATGTCAAAGAATGTTCTTCCGAATGACAATAAATATTGCCCATTAAATTTGAAGTTTTTGTGCTTTTTCTTTAAAAGAGTAGGGAACCTCAAAATACATTACTCTTTATAACATATAGCTGTCATACAAACTGACCGAGTTSTTGTATGGAGACTTTGTTTTGTGAAGTGTATTACAGCTTCGCTAAAACGTTATTTTTAGCGCTATTTAACGCTTTCCCTTGTCTCTATTGGTAAATAATTCATTTTGAAATACGCTATGATTTTATGATATAAAAAGTTAGAGACTACTAAAGTTAACATTTTCGGTTAAGTACAATCTTCCAGCCTTTTAACCGCTTTTTTGTTAGTACAACCAATGATTTTGATAATAACAAGGACCTCGAATATTTGTTTTTAACTTATTCTTACCGCTTCCGGAACATCTTACCTTCCGCTGTCTCAATATGTCGATCTTGTTGATAGACATAAATCGCCGACTCATTGATGCGTGTACTGCCATCGAGGTTATGATTTATTTGATTTGTGTGCTGGTTTACAAATAAACCGTTAGTTTGTTTATTCGACTAAGAACTATTGTCGAAACTTACCTGAATTGAATAACGCTGTGGTGCTAATTGTGGAGTATAGGGTGCGCCTATCGGGGTGGCAGCTAATATTATGAAAACTACAGTGACAGCCAAAAAGCAAGTTATGATTGAACGTGCCTTGCGAAACAAAAAATACAGTGGTATCTGGCAAAGGCATAAAAATAAAAATTTGTTTAGGAAATGTGTATAGATAATTCATATTTGCCTTACCAAAAATCCACTGCATAAAATCGTAATTAAAATGGCAACCAAGGAAATTACTAAATCCGGATTGGTCGAACTGCCATTGCGCCCACTTACCGGTATTAATATGAAAAATAAATACTCCGCAACATATGTAAAATACATGAACGGCATTATTTGACTCATTATAATGGGAATGGCAAACCAATGACCTGCGTGACACGAGAATATCAAGTCAGTGTACCAACACTACAACTAACTGTACTTACCGTTATAATGCAGTTGTGTTATTAAATTAATAATCAAAGCTGCTGCATAAAACAGCACCGGCAACATGCACATATAAGCCGAACGAATATTCAAAAAGGTTAAAGTGATCGTTAAAATAATTAGCAGCAGACAATGTGAGTGCATGAATAACTGTATGCGAAAATTCAAATTTAGCACGTGCTGGAAAAGATAAACATTCCACAAAAATCAATAAAAGCGCTGGTAAACACAATAACGGTGTTAACTTACTTTCTTTGTACTTTCCAGGAATATTGCGGGGCAAATGCCCAAAGCGAAAAATGCTGGACAAAAGTAAAGGCCGCATATTAACCAATTTGCAGAGAACCACGACATGGAACACCCTATAATATCCATGAAGTAGGCGATAAGTAACGGTATGCCAGCAGCCAATGCGAGTGAGAGTATTTGTATGATTAGTGTGTGTAGGCAATACTTGGTGAATGGGAGGCTGCTTTGATTTGATTTCGTTGCAATAAAGTAAAGTGAAATTGTGATCGCAAGCAAAGCGGCCGCACATACAACCAGATTGATGATAATGCTGGTGTTCAGCGTATAAGAAAGCACAAACCAGCCGAGGAAATCGTAGAAAATTAAATATTCAGGTTGGTAGTTACTAGTCTGAGGAATAAAAATATAGTAAAAATATTAATAATGCTCTGTACTATTTACATACTCACGAAGGAGTTTCGAAAATATTTGTTTCGATTTTTGGTCGAGAGGGGAAGTTTAAAATTCTTAATTAAAAATTTAAAACTCGAAAACAGGATTTTAAAACTCGTGATTGCAATTTGACTACTCAAACTCTTCAGCGGAGATGAATTAGAAAATTTAAAGCTTCTGACTTTAAAATGCATAAGCGTAAGTTTAAAACTCGTAAATGGCATTTTAAAGCGTGTAGTGAACGAGAGAAAGACGAAATATCTCATCTCATCAAGCAAACCGTCGTCGCACTCGCGACTAGGCACCCACGTCACTGTTGACAGTCATTACTTCGAAATCGTAGATAACTTTGTCTATCTTGGAACGTCAGCCTCGAAATCCAACGCAAAATACATAACTCCTGCCAACAGGTGTCACTTCGGACTGAGTAGCCAATTGAGAAGTAAAGTCCTCTCTCGACGAACAAAGACCAAACTCAATAAGTCACTCATTATTCCCGTCTTGCTTATGGTGCAGAGGCATGAACGATGACAACATCTGATGAGTCGACGTTACGAGATTTCGAGAGAAAGGTTCTGCGAARGTCTTACGTTCCTTTGCCCGTTGGATACGGCGAATATCGCATTCAATGGAACGATGAGCTTTACGACGACGTTGATATAGTTCAGCGAATTAAAAGACAGACTACGCTGGCAAGATCATGTTATCCGAATGAACGAAAACACTCCAGCTCCGAAAGTTTCGMTACAGTATCCGCCGAGGGAAKCAGAGGCAGGGAAAGACCTCCACTCCGTTGGAAAGACCAGGTRGAGAAGSACCAGGTTTCTCTTGGAATCTGCAATTGCCGCCACATTGCGAAAGGAAGAAACRACTTGCGCGCTGTTGTTAACTCGACTSTACCCGCGTAGGCGGTGTCAACGCCAGTAGAGAAGAAGAAAATTAGACCAGAATTTCGAAACTCCAGCTTTTGAATCAGAACATGCTTACTTACCATATTATATCTCATTTCAGGAGCATTGCCGATAGATTTCACTAAACTTAACACATTATCGCCAGTGTTTTGCAGTGAGGCTTTCGGAAAAACACTAAAGCTATCGAATTCCGTATGGTAAACGTAACCGTTATAAGCATAAGCCAAATCAAGACCTGTAAAAATTACAAAAATATACTTATGTGGAATGTAAATATTTATAAATCATGACAATCATGGATGCACACCAACCCTGCATACCACCATAGTTTCTAAAAACTCGGAAATCTGTTTCAGATGGAATTAAATTGTAYTGAAAGAGTTCCTCAGCTAGGACATTGGTGAACGGATGTGGCACACGGCTATAGTAGTTGATAAGCCAAGGGCTATTAGCAGCTGTACGAAATAGTAGTTCACGACCACCCGAACCAGCGGCGTCCAAGTTGATCACAACCCTTTGAAAAAATTTGTATCAATTAAGATATGTACTATATACTTCCTTTTATGGCTCAGACTTGCAGTTTTTTGCCCATTTGTGTTGTCGAACAAAACCGAGCGATGCATAGAGTGACTCCTCCTCAGCGCCATTGAATAAAAACACTATTGGATGTTCAAGTGGTCCATTGGATGTTGCCAGTATACGTAGTAACTCCATCATAACGGATACCATTGCGCCATCATCACTTGCACCGGGRCTTGTTGGTTTGGTATCAAAATGTGCATTTATCAGTAAATAGTTTGGACTCCTGCTGGTTTTGGCACTCAGTTTGACCATCACATTTTGTACGCTCTGGTACAAACGTGTGGCTGAGTATTGRCCTGAGACCACTTGCTTATCTACCTCAAAATCAAAGTAATCACTCTTTTGTTTTTCGATTTCACGAATTTCATCCATAAGTAATTTCACCGCTTGCACTTCATTTGCCTCACTGCCGACTACTCTAGGTCCGAGACTAGTTAGTTTAAAGAGGAAGTCCTCAGCTCGTTCAGCAATAAATTCGCCTGTGTGTTTTGCTGCATCCTTATGTGTGAGTGGTGTGGGTAAGCGGTATACCTGTTGGACTACTATTGCCGCATAGAGTATTATCCAGAAWGCAGTGAAGCAAGCCGCATAATACCAGTTGAGTTTTTGATTTCGCCAGAGCTAAAAATTAATTTTCATATAAAGTTAAAAAATAGTTGTCGGATGAAAAAAAAAAAACGCAATAATTTTCCTTTTTGATAAATATTTGATTAATAATATTTAGAGATCGATATATACTATGGAAATAATAGGCTATAGCTACCCAAGCAGAGCTCATCGATCACAATCGGCGATTCTTATRTCAGTCGAGTCTCCATAATTAGAACGGTCCAAGATTTGTATACGGCTGATTAGCAACTCGGMAACATTTCTCAAAAATATTTGGTGATAGTTTTTTTTTTACCGTTACGACAACAATAAAAATTAGAACGCTGAAACCAGAGAGGTAAAGGTYGTAAATTTTTTTCCAACTGCTCTAGAAGACTGCTTTTGGATCTCCCATGTATAAGAAAATGCGGTAATTATTTATATATAAGGTCTACTCCGTAATCGAGCAGAAGATCTCCAACCGATAGTACGGAAAGTAACATCCTTATAAATCCAATCATTTTCAGTTCTTCAAATGCAGTAGGCGACGAGTCACCTATTATTTGTCAGGCAAAATGTTGCGAGAGATTCGGCATTCATAAACCTGTGTTATTGCTGTTGTAACGGTTACTCGTTA